GCACGGGTCTGCTTCTGCACCGGCATAATCTTCAAAACCTCATCCTTGAGAGAGGCCCCCAAGAAAAAGTCAATGATCTCAGATTCCTTGATGGGCAGAGAGAAAAGATAGATCTCCTCCAGAGATTTAATCTTCATGTCTTTGACCAGGCGGCCCAACTTGGTGACAGGCATCCACTCCTTATCCTCGGCTTTGCCTCCGCGAGCTCCGCGGCCTCGGCCCCGGCCCCGACCACGGCCGCGACCCCGGCCCCGGAGACCACTGCCGAAACCTCCACGGAAGCCACCGCGGTTCCCCATCCCAGGGCCCCCGGGGCCTCCAGGCCCCCCCGCTGCACCGGCGTCATCCGCCATTTGGTGTTTTATCGGAGAAGAAGCTACATTTAAATCTTTGATCCATTTTGAGTTAACTTTTGTGTGAGGATCAAACTTTATTCTTTTAGATGTGACTGTCATTTCTACTTAGTATAATTTGTTGAAAAGACTATTCTTTCCCCACTGAAAGGTCTTGCAGCCTTTGTCAAAACTCAGTTGACCATATGTATGGATTTACTTCTAGATTTTCAATTCTATTCCATTAATCTGCATTTCTCTCTTTACACAAGTACCACACTATCTTGATTGCCACTGCATTGTAATAAATGTTAAAATCAGGAAGGGTGAGTCCTACTTTATTCCTTGCTTTTAGGATTGTTTTGGCCATTCTGGATTCCCTGCAATTCTATATAAATTTCAGAATCAGTTTGTCAATGTCTGCAAAAAATCAGCTGTGATTCTGATAGGGATTACATATAATCTGTATAATAATTTTGGGGAGTATTATCATTTTAACCATGTTATGTATTCTAATTCATGAATATGAAATGTATTTCCTTTTGTTTAGATCTTCTTTAATTTTTCATTATGTTTTATAGTTTCAGAGTAAAGTTTTGCAATTTTGATGTTAAATTTATTCTTAAGAATTTATTCTTTTTCATGCTATTGTAAATGAATTTTTTTTTTTTTTTTTTTTTTGGATAGTTCGCTGTTAGTGTGGA